TAGGTAGCTGGAGAAAAGCTCCCAGACTGGCACTATGCAAGATCTTTCCTTTTCTTGGAACATAGACAGCCAGCTTGTGTTGCGGGCTCTTTCTAGGCCTCCTGGAGCAGCAGTGTGGAAAATAGAGCCCTGGGAAATATTGGTCTGGGGTGTCGCTTCCTCAGGGCGACAGAGGAGGACAGGCCATAGACATTTGGGTTCTTAATTCTTAGGCTCCTTGGCCCAGCCTTCAGCAGCCACAGCCGGCTCCTTAGAACTCGGGGTTTATCACCACTCTTCAGATAAACCAGGAAGCGCCTCCACGCCAATGTAGCCAGCAGCAAGGAGGCAAGGTCGGGCCACAATATTGGGGTCTTGACAGCCACACTGAGCTGGATAGGATACTCCTTGCACTAAAACTTCTATGAGGACGCAGATTGTCTTCGATTCACCACCCCTACACTGGTCTTCCTTACCACTCTGTCCCTGGCAAGTCCAGGACATTCCAGGAAAAGGGGGCAGAGAGTTCCGAGGAGGAAGGCCCAGCATGCCTATCCCAGGTAGTTCAACTCTCTGCCGGGGTGGGGATGATTCTGCTCTCCACCCAAACACAGCCTTGTCTGATAACCACGACTCAAGAAGATAATGCCTCAAGAAGACAAGCGGCTGAGCAGATCTCAGACATAGGGCAGATAAAGAGCGAAGCAGGCCTGTAATACCGGCAGAGGTGTTCCTGTGGGTTTACCCCAAGTACCAGCTGGCCTTCACCAGGTGCACCGATGAACCACCGATGAACCGATGAACCGGCTGCTCGGTTTTGACAGATTCAGGTCTACCCGAGAGTCCTCCATGCCTCACACTCCCAACTCAGACACTGGCTGGAGGGAGGTTGTACTACCATTGCCTTCTTAGGCTGAAGTTATGCTACCACACCCGCCGTTTTCAGGAAGTGCCTGCCAGCCTCGCCCCTGCTCACACCTCTCCCTAAACCAGCTTGGATCTGCAGCTATAGTCCTCACCACCTGGCTCGGGTGGCCTGCCACAGCAGATGAAAAATTGAAAATGCCTTTGGTCCAGAATGTGTCCACTTGGAACTTGGACTCCTACATCTCAAGGCATGAACCACTGCCGCTTGGGCATCACGGGGGAGATAGACCAGTTTATCACTCTTACTTCGTTCTTTCCGAACTAAATGGAGATCAAATGTTAGAAGGAGGAGAAAATGAAAGATCCAGGGAATACTGGTGGCTTGCCTCATACCCTTCAGGGTCCTCTCCCTTACAGCGCCACGTCTCAGCTCTGTGAATGACTGGTAAACTTCACATGGTAGAAAAAGTTTTCAGCATTCTGCCCAAAGAGGTCTGTTGAGCGAGCGAGTCTTGTCCCCACTCCCAAATCCCAAGGTAGGGGCAGGTATCTCCGACTTTGTTGCAACCCCAGACAGGTAAGTGTGATGAATAAAGACATGGGGAAGTTGTCTCATGGCTCATCCAGCCCCCAGGGCTCTCCCAAAGCTGCTGCATCCCCGCAGGGGCCGCTGTACATTCCTGTCTGATAGCTGTGCCTTGAAGATGGGTCAATGGGTAGCTCAGCCAGGAATGGAGACATCTAAAGTCCGATTTTTTATTCAGGTGGAGCCACGGGCTGGGTCAGAGCCACAGAGTGCCATCTCCCTCCCACCCCCCAGAGCCATCCAGTTCAGAATATTTGGAATGCTTTCCCAAACTTTGAGAAGCATTCCTTGCCCGCCTTTCTTGCTTGCCCTCCATGGCGTTTGAAATGTTTGCTTTTTTGACACAGGCATGCAAGGAAGGGGGTAGCATGCTTCCAGGGTATTTAGGAGGCTGGCAGCCACCAGCGACATTGGGGACAGTGCCTGGGAAGGTGCCATGCACCTTTAACTTGCGTCAGCCTTCTTATTTTTCAACAGCAGATGTGCTGGGCGATGGAGCCTGTCCCTTTGGGTGCTGTTGGCTTTGTAAGTGTTGGAACGTGGGAGTTCGTCCTGGGGCCCTGAGTACGTGCAGAGCTGGGGGGAGGGCAGTGACAAAGGTGCAAGCGTCCTAGGTGACAGAGAGAGAGAGAGAGAGAGAGAGAGAGAGAGAGAGAGAGAGAGAGAGAAGCAGGAGGCTTCAACCTGCCCCATTCTGTTCTGCCATGGAGTATGGCCTTGTGTTTTTGGATCTCAGTCTCTGGCCACTGGGGTGAGAAGCCTGGTTGGCCATTAGACAGCGGTGGCCTTCCAGCCGGGACTCCGCTATTCCCCAGGCACCCTGCCTCCCAGGGAGTCTGTCTACAGTTGAAGCCCCAGCACCATTCCAGGCCCCATAAACAGTCGAACTTCACCCCATTCCCTTAAGCTTTGAGGCCGGTTTCTTAGGTGGTATTTCTTAGGATTGTGAAATAGAGTTTTAACGAGCGGGGTTCAGTTCCAGCTCTATAACGTCACTGTGATAGGGAGAGTTCTCACCGAAGGGATTCTGCTGTCTGTCTTGCCCATCCGGATGGCTTTGAGTGGGGTAGTGGACGTGCCCTCAGGGCCTCTTTGGGAGCCTTCCCATCCTTTCTGGGAACAAGGTGCTCTATAAATAAGTATGTCATTTGGAAAACCCTGCTCTGCTCTCTGGGCCCCACTTAGCATCAGCTGACCAGGCCCAGCCTCCATCTACACCCCCTAGGGGAAGCAGGGGCAGACTCTTCTGCTCTTTTCAAGGGGGAGGGCAGAAGAAATGAAGCCTTCTGGGTTTGTAAGTGAGGATTCAGGGGAACCCTGAGGTGCCCAACACTGGGGCAGCACACTTCTCTCTCCTGAGGACACCTGAGCAGTCAGGCCCCACTGTACCCACCTTTGAGGACAACCGGTGGCTGTTACCCAAGTGGCAGTAGCTGGGGAGTGCTCTGTGACTCAGCCTCAGTTTCATGCTCTGCAGAATGGGTGGCTTCTTCAGGTTTGTCTTTCACTGCTGATGCAAGGGCTTGAGAAGGAAGTTCTTTCCACAGGGGTCCTGAGTGCTGCATACAGGGTGGCCGTTGTCATATGATTATGTCCCCATCTTTGGACAGCTCTCCATGGGAGAACTGAGACACGCTAACTTACTGGGCCCCAGCTTCTTGGTGTGAAAATGGAAATAACAAATGTTACTTCTGTTAATGTGTGTACGCGCGCGTGCATTACTGGGAATTGAATCCTGGATTTCACGCATGCTGGGCAAATGTCACATCACTGTCCCACAAAAACCTTAACTTAAAAATATTTTATGATTTAATTATTCTGCCCCTGGAGCTGGAGTTACAAGGTGGTTGTCAGCTTCCCTATGTAGATGCTGAGAACTAAACATGGGTCCTCCAGAAGAACTACTAACCTACCTCTCTTTTTTTCAGACAGGATCTCATGTAGCCCAGGCTGACCTCAAACTCACTATATAGCTGAGGATGACTCTGAACTTGTGATCCTTCTGCTTCTACACCTTAGGTGCTGGGATTACTGGCCTAGGCCACCATGCCTAATTTATGTGGGTTTCTTGAAGGCTAGGGCAAGCGTTCTACCGAGTGATCCCTCATCCCTAATTTACATTTTTTTGTATTTCATATTTTTTATATTTTGAGACGGGATCTTTGTAGATAGCCCAGCCTGTCCTTGATCTCATGATCCTCCAGCCTTCGACCACTAAGTGCTGGGATTCGAGGGGGGGGGGGTGTCTCACTGGGTTACTCCACTTGCTTTGAACCCACTGCACATCCCAGACAGACCATGAACTTGCAATCCTCCTCCCTCAGCTTCCTGAGTAGCTGTGATAAGATGCCTGAGGCTGCTTAGAGTTGATGTGCAGGTGAGATGATTTAATGCAAACACTTCACACGGCACACAGTGGTGCTCAATTCACTTTAGGAACGATGCCTTGTCCATAGTGGTTTTTTTGAGACAGGGTTTCTCTGTGCAGCCCTGGCTGCCCTGGAACTTGCTCTGTAGCCCAGGCTGGCCTCGAACTTCTGCCTGCCTCTGCCTTTAGAGTGCTAGGATTAAAGGTGGGCCCTACCACCACTCTGCGTCCACAGTGTTTTTAAACTGTCATTAAGATGACCAGTCTGAGTCCTCACCCAAACATGCTATATACTAGGTGAGGTCAGAGGCCCAGTGATACTTAATATTGTCATCCGAATAGGAAAAGAACTGCGGACGGACGCTGGGAGAACACCAAAGCCTACTTTGTTCTGGTTGTGCCTGGGAGTGGTGGGAGAGAATCCTAACTCATTCTTCCCGGTGCTGGCTTTTTGGGAGGCCTGTCTCCTCCCCATAACCTCCCGGAGGAGCGCACATCCGCTTTGTCCCAGCACTGGGAATGTGGCTGTCAGTTCTCATCCCACGCAGAAACCACTGCCCGTTCTGCTTCCAGGCATCTGGAGGAGCATGGGGCTCTCCTGGGAGGGAGATGGCTGTCTCCAACTGACTGCCCAGGACATAATGAGGTGGTCTTTTTTTTTTTTTTCCCCGGGATTTGAACACTTAAGGAACCTGGTTGGAACCCCTCTTCTCTATAACACCCACTCCTCCCAGGCTCCCCCACCGGGCCAGGTCCGTCTTCAGAGGACTGAGCTTCCGCACGAGGGCGCATCCGCTCCTAGGCTCGCAGATTCCTGGCCTTTGCGCGGCAGTCCCCGGAAAGGCGGGAATGCGCCCCTGAGCGAGGATCCTCCCACAGCAGCCTCCCTGCCCCCCCCCCCCCCCCACACACACACACGTGCTAAGGCTGCGAGTGTTATCTGGGAGCCCAGGCTGCAGACTGCGCCCGTGCCGGACCGGGTGCAGCGGCTCCAGCCTCCTGAAGACACTGACAACCGCCCGCCCTGAGCTCCCAAACTGCTGGTTCCATTCTGCTGGAGGTTTCTAAACTTTTCCCCTTTTCCTAGCCGTGCCCCGCCCACCTGCCGGGCGTGTCTCCTCCTCCGGCGGCTAGCCCACGCCTAAAGTGGGCGGTGTTTATTATTGTTGGAATTCAAGCTCAGATTTGCCTTAGGGTTCAGAAGACTCGTCGGGACAGCACGGCGGGGCGCGCCTATCGGGAGGGTCGAGGGTGCGTGCTGGACTTGGGGTCCTGGAGAGCTTTGGGATTGACGCGGGCTGCGGAGGTGAGGGAGGGTATTGCACGTGACACTGGTTTATTTCTGGGTCTGAGTCTGTTAAGGGAGTTCAGAATCGAGGGACCGGGGTGTCAAAGCTGAGGTTGCTCACTCACCTTTCACCCCAGAATTAAAAAGGGTATTCTGGTGAAAGCTAGGCTTCTGAGAGAAACACATTCCGACACCCCCCACACCCCACCCCCGCAATTAGGCGGGTAGCCAGGGTTGCTTGCAGGAGATGGAATGGGCAAGGACTAGCTGGACACTCCCTCAGGCCCACCTTTCGCCAAAATCTTTTTGTTGTTTTCCAACCAGGAGTAAAACTTCTATTTTCTATTTCCTTACTCACTTCTCTGTGGTGGTGGGATGCTAGGACATCATAAACCCGAAGGGTATATTCTGGATTCCTCGCTTCCGAGTGGGACGATTATCACCCCACTTTCTCCACGTTCAGAGACCATCTGAGTACCAGTCACTGGTCCAAATCTGGTACCCTCATTGTCGCCCAGTGCGTTTCCCCCTCCAATGGGTAGCAGAAAGCTATTTCTTTACCCACTTGCACCCCCAAACACTCCCCTCTTCTGCAGATTACTCAGGGGGCAGCTACTAACCCAGTTCTTCACACTGTTTCCACTTCCTTTCAAAGAACACTGGCAGGCAGACATCGTGAATGGAGACTGGTAACACCAGGCTAACCTGCGTCTCTACCCCACTGGAGAAAAGCCAATTGGGGAGATGCCCCCTTTGGAAGGAACATCATTCAGGAGTTTGGATTCAAAGTTTGACGTGGCTAAATGTAAAATGAGCCGGGGTGGGGGATGCTTACACCCCTGGGTGGGTGGGTGAGTGGGGGGGCCAGCACACAGGCTTCACAAATGCTTAATGTAATCACCAGCCAGCTGTGCACACTTGTAAAGCTGTTGTAACCCCCCTCCTTGTTATAAACAGGAAGGCACAGAGTATGGAGCTAAAGACCCACATTCACGAACACCAGCTCCCCGCCAGCTGCCACCCCCTCCCATGACGTGCCTTGTTAGCAACCTTAGCCAGACCAGAAAGACCTTTTCCCTCCCCCCCCCAACTCTCCAAAGGGGGTTGTTTTGCAATCTTTAAAGGAACTAGGAACCAGGTACCCTGTTCACCTACAGCTTTCCAGAACTATTTGCTTTCCCCCTGGCAAAAAGGCTGGCTCTTGAGGTCCACTCCTTTCCCCTGAGGCTCCGGGTGCCCTGTTAGGTAGGGCCTCCGGGACAGTAGTACCCCCTGAAGAGTGCTCACCTCCATGAAACATGTCTAGTGTCTTCCCAGCTCCCCCAAACACAGAGAACGGTGCTATCTTTACATTGCCTATTAAGCTTAGAGGAAATAAAAGATCTTTTGTGGGAGGGTCCCCCAGACTAGCCTTAAAATGTACCCCTTGGCTTCCCCACCCCCATCTCCATCCCTCCTTCCTGGCCTAGCAGACCCAGTTCGGGGAGAGCCACCCGGCTCTCCACATCCTGCCTTGCTGACTGTGTGCTTACAGCGTCAAGGGGTGGACGTGGTATTTCAAACATCAGATCAGTGCGTTTATATATTGGGTGCCCGGAAATTTTTCCAAATAAACACAGCTTGATTCAACTTGGGTGGGCGGACTTATCAACAGACTAATTCTATAAACAAATGAGGAATAGCCCTGAAACCGATTGGCTGGTATCAAAAAGACACGTGGAGGGAAGAGCTGGGAGATTTTCAGCAATGAAATTTTAATTAATGTGGGTGGGCTGAGAACACAAGGACTGTTTATCATAGACAATTTATTTTCCAGCGCTAAGTCAACACATAATAGCAAACTTACAACAATTATTTAACATTTTTAAAGCCATGAAGAAGGGACAGAGCGCGCAGCGGCTGGAGAGAGCGGCAGATCGCAGGGCAGACGCACGGAGGGTTCCCCAGGAGGGCCCTGGCGCGGGGCGAAGTCCCTAGGCTGCCCGGGTGGCGGAGCGCAGAGGCTGCTGTCGCCATGAGCCACCTCTTCAGTCCCCCGCTGGCTGCTCTGGCCGCCTCGCCGCTGCTGTACGTGTACAGCCCCGAGAGGCCCGGACTGCCCCTGGCCTTCACCCCTGCCGCTGCGCTGGCCGGCCCTGGCCGGGCGGAGCCCCCGCAGAAGCCGCCCTACAGCTACATCGCGCTCATCGCCATGGCGATCCAGGATGCGCCCGAGCAGAGGGTCACACTGAATGGCATCTACCAGTTCATCATGGACCGTTTCCCCTTCTACCACGACAACCGCCAGGGTTGGCAGAACAGCATCCGCCACAACCTGTCGCTCAACGAGTGCTTCGTAAAAGTGCCGCGTGAGAAGGGGCGGCCGGGCAAGGGTAGCTACTGGACGCTGGACCCTCGCTGCCTGGACATGTTCGAGAACGGCAACTACCGGCGCAGGAAAAGAAAGCCCAAGCCCGCCGCGGGTTCCCCGGAGGCCAAGCGCACCCGGGCGGAGCCGCCAGAGCCCGAGGTGGGCTGCAATGCAGGATGCCCCGGCCTGGCCACTGCATGCCCGCCGCGCGCGCCGGATCGTGGTCAGTCCCCGACGGGAGGCACCGCGCAGCCAGCGCTCTTTCCCTGGTCCAGCCCTGAGCCCTGGAACCCCGACGCGGACCGCAGAGTTCAGGGCTCGGGGGCAGTGGTGGGTGGCCAGCGCGATAGCACAGTGCACCGCCCGGGGTCCCCTCTGCGCCCCGACCCCAGCGGCTCCCCCAAGGGTTCCAAGTCTAAGAGCTTCAGCATCGACAGCATCTTGGCTGGGAGGCCAAAGCAAGCTTCAGGGGCGGAGGCCTCGGGAGTCCCAAAGCCTGTGCCGGGCTTGCTGGGCGCCTCGCTGCTGGCCGCCTCCTCCGGCCTACCACCTCCTTTCAACGCTTCGCTGGTGTTCGACCCACATGTCCAGGGTGGCTTTTCCCAGCTGGGAATCCCCTTCCTTTCCTATTTCCCGCTGCAGGTCCCGGAGGCCGCGGTGCTTCGCTTCCAATAAGGCGGATCAACAGCTGTTTCCCCGCCCCGCGAGCCCCCACCTCCAGCGAGCAAAGGCCAGCTGCTTGCCTGCGCCTGCGGGTGAAGAAGTCACCTTGGACTCTGCCCTGGCAACTGTGAGTTTGAAACAGCGTAACCACATCGGCCAAACCCGGTGCACTGGGGGTTATGTTGGTCTACCTTCTCCGAAGATGACTTAACCAGCCGCGGGAACTTTGCAGACTTAAAAGACCTGTCCAGGAGAGGACGTGATCACCGCACACCCAAGCGCTCACAACCCATCACCAGCAGAACCCCGTTGGGTGGGCCGTTGCCCTTGTAGAATGACCTCGCTAGAGTCTTCTGCTGACCCTGAGGGCAGGACTTACAGACATGGCGAACATTTCTACACGGAAATTCAACTGGACCGTGGAAGGCTCAGCGGGACTCCCTGTGGCTGTGACCTCTTTGGATGATGAGAGCTTGCATCCAGGGCCCTGGGGATGATCCGTGGTCCCCAGGGTCTGGGAAGAGATGTAAGCCTGGTTATCATTTACAACTAAGTTTAAGGGAAACCAGGCAGAGCAGCAACACTCAATATGAATAGATACATCTCCTTTACAGTAAAAGGACATTTATTCTTGGCTTATAAACCAGGCTCCTCTTACTTGGCATGCACCTACGGCCTAGGGTGGTGCATTAGTGCATTCTGCAGCTGTGTAGCCCTCTGTTAGCTTCTGCTTTTCTTTTTAAGGGACCAAAAGAGTTCAGGGGACACAGGAGGGTGTGTGTGGAGTGAATACGTCTCAAGGTCAGAATTTTTATTTCTCTTCTTTTCTTTTTTTCAAGATCTAAGTTTCTTTCCCTCTCCCCATTTTCCAGAATCATATAGTAAAGGACACCATGTAATCAGAAAGGCTGGAGGAGCAAGCACACTCCTGTCTGGTGTGGGACAAAAGCTTCTAGGCTTGATAGGGACTCTCTAGACTCAACTGGTGGTACCCTAAGTCAGTGTTCCTTCCAGGAGGATCTGGATCCTGACATTAAATAAACACGTAGGGGTGACCAGAGAGTCGGGGGGTGAGGGTGGGGGATGAACAATGATCAGACTAAGACAACTGAGTTGGTTACAGTTCAGTCCAGCTTTCAGCTTGCGGGGAAACAGAAAGACCTTCACCTTGCCTGTGTTTTAGTTTTCTGATGGGTTCTGAAAATTGACTTCCTGAGGAACTAAAGAACTGGCTTTTATCTGGGGTAAGAAACGTATAAAAATGAAGACTTCTTGGGCATCAGCCCAGAGTGAAGTCTTACAATGCCACGTCATATCTGTAATTTCAGTATTTTCGAGGCTGAGGCAGGAGGATTGCTGTGAGTTTAAGGCTAGTCTGTGCCACAGAGTTAGATCTGTCTCAAACTGACTAAGGGAAATCAAACAAACCACTTCCCAGCACTTGTGCAAAAATGCTTAAGAACTCTCAAGTCCCCTGCTGGTCAGTGGTGGGAAAAGCATTTTAGGCAGATGGGATACTATCTGGTTGCCAGTGAGAGCTCTGCAATTCAGTCTTCCAGCCCCATCCAGGTCCCACCAGGTCTGTGGGGAGATGGGTGTGTGTGTACAGCAGCTCTATTTGAAGGACTTTGAGGAGACCCCATCGTGAATCCAGGTGGCTGTGACTGACTAGAATGCAGCAGGCAGGCTGCCATTGGATGTTTCCCATGTGCTCAGCCTCTGAATAAAGGTTGTTTTTTCATTAACCTCTCACTGACTGGTTCAGCGGATTATGGGGACATAAACAAACAGTGTAGTAGGAATGAGAGAGCGGGATTATATCCGAGAACCCGGTCAGCATCTTTGGCAGCCTGGGTGAAGACAAGCTGCTGCGGGGGAGGGACCAGAAACCCCACTGAGCCCTGGAGGGGATTGAGTGGCAGAAAGAGGGGGCCGTTCTGCGGTGCTGGGTGCTTTTAGTTTTCCTTTTCATTCTTGGGTTTGACATGCTGTCTTGGGTGTGTTTGTTGATTTGTGACAACCGACTTTTGGAGAAACAACTGATTTAATACTGCTGTTCTTAGAAGGTGGTATTTTGGGGTTGTAATTCAAAAAGCATTTGTAAGAGCATTGTTTTTGAGGGACAGATGGATGCAAGAGTGTGTGTGTGTGTGTTTATGCAGAAAGATTCCATGCAGTTTCAGCTTTCATCAGGCGCAAAATCGCTGGAGAATTGGACTGTGAAGATGTTTTCTATCCAGTCTGTGTCAGCCTCTGTGGGTTTCTTTCCTATTGAGGAAAAGGAAGGGCACTGGATTCTCACTAACCAAACCACTATTCTAATTTCCCATATGCATAACTGGCTCAGTAGTAAAGATGATTATCATTACTACTACTACTACTACTACTACTACTACTACTATTATTATAGATCAGCTAGACTAAGAAATGATTTCAGGCCAGGCATGGTAAAGCACACTAGTAATCCTAGCACTCAGGAAGCAGAAGCAGTCAGGTTGATCTCTGAGATCAAGGCCAGCCTGGTGTACTGATCTACAGAGGAGATTCAGGCCACCTCGGGTTACACAGTGAGATCCTGCCTCAAAAAAAAAAAAAAAAGTACATCTCTGCTAGTAATTAAGATAGTTATGTTTAGTGGGAAGCAGAAGCAAGACTATGGTTCCACTCTCACGCAACCAGAAGGTTGTGTCTCTCCACAGAACAAGGGGGTGGAGGCAGCCCTGCTTCTCCTCTCATGGCGGTGTACCTCTCTCTTTCTTACTGTCTCTTTGTCTCTGTCTGTCTGCCTGCCACCTGTCTGTCTCTCTTTCACACACGCAGATGAGTTCGCTGAACGTGATGACAGGTATGTTAATGGTGAATGTGTATACTTATGCAAACACACGTGCCCTTGTGTACATGTAAATATCTATATCTATGTATCTGTGCAGTGTACATGGACACTCAAGAGACTTTTGCATGTAGGTGGGACTTGGATTGAGTGCTGAATTCTGAGGCTTTATACACAACTTCCTTTTTTTAAAAAAAACTTGTGTGTGTGTGTGTGTGTGTGTGTGTGTGTGTGTATGATCATCTGTGTGAGTGTGGTTATATGTATGCTATGGCACACATGTGGAGGTCAAAGGACAAGCTTTGGTGTTAGTCTTCATGTTCCGTCTTGTTCAAAGTAGGGTGTCTACAATTTATTTTGCATGCATAGATGGGGCTGGCTGATCCACCAGCTTCTGGAGTCTCCTGTTCCCACCTCCCATCTTCCTGCAGAAGCCCTGAGATCATAGTTGCCTGCCCTGTTGCATCTGGCTTTTTATGGGCTCTGGGGATCCGAACTCAAGTCTTCAAGTTTGCACAACAAGCATTTACCCACTGAGCCACTGCCCCACCCAGCTCAGTTTCATTTTCTATGTAGTTCTGACCAGGACAAATTATCCATGTTTCTGCATTACCGTGATGAGACTAAGCCAGGCTCTGCGTCTCAGAAGACACCCTGACTCTGAGGCCTTTGCTAAGTAGAGAGTTTTGTAGACCAGATGCTTTGGATAATAGGGGCCTGACACATATTTTCGAGAACATGAGCTAGACCTGTCCAGGGCATTGAGGGTGTGGCCACTAACTCAGGCCATTCTCACATGAACCTTGGGGCCATGTGTCCTCCTCACCATTTCAAGGAGTGGTCAGTGACTGTTCATGTGTGAGTTAAAGAAGAGACCACAGATGGTGACTATTATGGTTAGAGCCAGGGCTGTCTGCCCCTGTCTCGGCAGACTAAAGTTTCCACCACAGAAACCCATGCGTGAGAAATCAATGGAGAGCAGAGGCTTTGTGTGCGGCCCTGCCTCGTAGTGTTGGAAATGATGATTGCTTCATAGAATGTATCAATGATAAAAATTACCTGTAACATGAATTCCTGTTATTAAAAAGGAAGAACAGGGACTTGTGGGAAAAGTAGAATTAATTCACTGCATTCAAAGTCATTTAAAAATAACCCAGTGACAAGTGGTCTGCCATGCTGCTCCTGCCTCAAGGTCCCAGGGTCAGGTTCTGCAGGCCCAGGCAGATGCCAGAGTGTTTACAGTGACTTGGGAGGGGCCACATAAAGGGCTTGAAAGGGGAATTCCTGTCTCTTCAAATGGCATCCAGATGCCAGTGGCCCTGGGCAAGATGGATATGTGGCTCATAGGCCAGATTTGGGGGTGAGCTGGCTACATGTACCATGAGGACTGGGGTGTCCTTGTTTATACTGGTACTGGGTGAGGAGGAGGAAGGGGAAGCTGTGGGGTAAAGGCTGGTCTTAAGCATCTTTTTCTACCAAGTTTGAGAATCAGGATCCCACAGGAAATTGAAACTCACTCTGGTCAATGACAAGGATCATTTTGTCATTTTGTGGGGACTGAGGATTGGGCGAGGAATCTAGAGGGCTCAGTAGGGTGAGGACATGGTCCACCTTCTCCCCCTTTCCAGTCTCCAGCACCACCCCAGCCAATCCGCCCCTCCCCCGTCCCCCTTGGCCTGCCTGACTTCTGCCACCGACACCTCCGATTGGCAGTGACCTGCCATAGTTGAAACCACGAGGAAGACCAGGCAACATGGGTTATAGAAGATAAGCTGTCTACTTGCTGCATACTTGGGACAGAGTGGACCTGAGCAAGGACATGGGTGTGGGAGGGCCAGTGACGCATGAATGACAGACTGTAAGGTTCTTCTTCTTGGACCAGTCAGTGACCACTGTCCTGACCACAGCTGTGCCATTCAAGAGTGAGACTGGGACGCCTCAGATGATGCCTCACTGAACCCTGACTTCCTGGAGACTGGGCCCCTTCCTGGCAAGCTTCCAAGAGGACACAGCAGCTCTAGACACTATTCCAGAGCCCCTTAGATAGGCAAGATCTGGAGTTGGACATGGTTCCCAGGGGGGTCACACCTTGGGCCCTTCGGTCTCCACCCTTACACCTTAGAGTCCAGGAGGCGGCTGCTGAGTCGGGAAGGTTATATCTGACTGTACTTGACTTGTCTTAGTTTGTCATGGTGCACAAGGTCACCCCTTGCCAGTGACTCTCTGGATGTGACAGACTCAGACTCACTTCCAGAATGTGTGTCCACAGATAGTGATGTCATCTACCAGTATAGGGGAGGGAGGGCACGATGGTGTCTTGGTTGTGGGGCAGTGTCTCCCATAAGTCCTCTTGGAGGGGACAAGACCACACCCTGTTGTTCATGGGTCAGGTGGACATTGACAGGGCTGACTTTCAATGGTGACTTACATTCTCATGATGTACAATGAGAAATGCTGTAAGCCTCGGGCAGCTGTAGGCACCTGGCCCCCATATCCTTGCTCTGTAGCTGGTCACCATCCACCACCCACTACCCCATTCTTTGGGCATGTTCCCACCTCTGAACCCTCCTGCCACCAGCTTCCTACCAATTTGTCACCCATTGGGACTTGGTTTTGGGGCAGGGTAGGAAGGAGCCATTGACAGGGTCTAGAAAAGTCAGTGACCCAGCTCCACCTTGACTTGACTTTGGCAAAGCCACCAAACCCCCTAACTCTTGGCTTTTGTCACATACCCAATGGAGGAAACATTCGCCACTGCCTCTGCCCCACAGATGTCACAGCAGTGACCCCGCAGATGGGCATACGTCCCCTGTGCCTGGGTAATCTGCTCTGGCTTAGAGTTAAGTTGAGTGGCATGTGTGAGAGACTAGTCCAACCTCTGCTGGAGACATCTGAGTCTCAGGACAGTCCCTGGACCAGCCAGCTCTGTCAGGGAGCTGCAGCTCTGTAGGCTGCCCACTCAATCCCCAACCTGCGCAGGCCCAGGCTAGCCTCCTGGAATCTCTTGCATTTAGTTTATCTCTTGGGATGGCTGGAGCCTGTGAACTCAACATGCAAAGCAAAAGAAATTGCTGGCTCAGTGGGGAAGGACAGCAGGGGATATCAGAGCACTGGGACAGAGTGGGTGGTTCCCAGGGACAGCAGAACGAACGCCTTGTGCACTTCCTTGCTGTGTCTGGGCAGCGTGAGGGCTCCAAGGACACTTCCTGGGACCTGAGGTCTAGCCTTATGAGTTCACAGATTAAACAAAAGTCCTTTGTTTCTGCCCCAGCACTGAAGCTTTCCATGGGGCAAGGGAGAGCCCAGACCCCTCTCCTATGGTAAAGGGGACCTGAAGAGGACTTTTTGCTAAACCCTCCCATCCCGTGGCCCGCCTTATAAAGAACATGGCTTTTCAATGCTGCGGCTAAATATAGCAAGGGCTTGATCAGCGAGAACGCTTTTAGAAAGCACATTACAAATCAGGAATGTTTGGGAGAAATAAACTTTCCCACATTTTTGGACTTGGCGTTGGCACTGTGTGCTCCGTCTTCAGCACAGGATGGAGGCAGTGATGATTACCCATGTGGGCACTACCCAGGGCCCATGCTGGTGCCTGAGGACACAGACACTTTGCAAGGATCCAGGTGGTAGGGTGAGACACTCTCTGGGGGAGGGCAGCACCAAGTCTCTGTAAGGGTCACTTAGTTAGCAAGGAAGTCAGATGCAAGAAACAAACCTAATCCTGGAGTTCTGTTTCTCGTCTCTGCTAGTTTTCTCTGAGGCGCTCATTGAGATGAGATCACAGCCACAAGCCATGGGCCGCCCACTCTGACCAGTGATGGCTTCCTGGTGCCTCTGCCCTGTCCCTAGAGGTCAGAGTAATCTGGCGGTGAGACCAGGTGACTGAGTTTTTGTTTTTTAATTTTTTTAAAGATGTATTTTTATTTAATGTGTATAGGTGTTCTGACTGCATGAATGTCTCTGCATCATGTCTATGGATTGCCCACAGAGGCCAGAAGAGGTCCTATGATCCTCCAGAACTGGATTGACAGAGGTTGTGAGACACCAAATAGGTGCTGGGAACTGA